ACATTGTAACCGACGAACAGTGAAAGGTTACATTGTATCCCTGGCGGCCCCGCCCTCTCTCCTGATTGGATGTGGTGGATTCCTCCGATAGGCTTCTCGCGCACCACGTGCAGCCACTAAACACAGCTGGGGGGGCGGGTCCGAAACGCGTGTTCTGATTGGTCAGGCGTGTAGCTGCCTGCGTGAGGACGGTGCTGACGTCACAATCGTGGGCTCCGAGGTCTGGCAGGAGACAGACCGGAAGAGAGGGGTTCAGAGGTCACACCGAGCGCCGAGGGTGAGTGACACTGCAGCGCCTTATATGACGTCATCACTCTGCAGACGGACCAATTAGTGACCGTGTGACTGCACTCTGTACATATAATCATTGGGGGGTGTCGGGAGCTCCGAGTCCTGTCACTGCCCCTGTATATACCCCTCACCCGCAGAACGTACACTGCCCCTGTATATACCCCTCACACGCAGAACGTACACTGCCCCTGTATATACCCCTCACCCGCAGAGTGTACACTGCCCCTGTATATACCCCTCACCCGCAGAACGTACACTGCCCCTGTATATACCCCTCACCCGCAGAACGTACACTGCCCCTGTATATACCCCTCACCCGCAGAATGTACACTGCCCCTGTATATACCCCTCACCCGCAGAATGTACACTGCCCCTGTATATACCCCTCACCCGCAGAACGTACCCTGCCCTGTATATACCCCTCACCCGCAGAATGTACACTGCCCCTGTATATACCTCTCACCCGCAGAACGTGCACTGCCCCTGTATATACCCCTCACCCGCAGAACGTACACTGCCCCTGGATATACCCCTCACCCGCCGAACGTACACTGCCCCTGGATATACCCCTCACCCGCCGAACGTACACTGCCCCTGGATATACCCCTCACCCGCCGAACGTACACTGCCCCTGGATATACCCCTCACCCGCCGAACGTACACTGCCCCTGGATATACCCCTCACCCGCCGAACGTACACTGCCCCTGGATATACCCCTCACCCGCCGAACGTACACTGCCCCTGGATATACCCCTCACCCGCCGAACGTACACTGCCCCTGGATATACCCCTCACCCGCCGAACGTACACTGCCCCTGGATATACCCCTCACCCGCCGAACGTACACTGCCCCTGGATATACCCCTCACCCGCCGAACGTACACTGCCCCTGGATATACCCCTCACCCGCCGAACGTACACTGCCCCTGGATATACCCCTCACCCGCCGAACGTACACTGCCCCTGGATATACCCCTCACCCGCCGAACGTACACTGCCCCTGGATATACCCCTCACCCGCCGAACGTACACTGCCCCTGGATATACCCCTCACCCGCCGAACGTACACTGCCCCTGGATATACCCCTCACCCGCCGAACGTACACTGCCCCTGGATATACCCCTCACCCGCCGAACGTACACTGCCCCTGGATATACCCCTCACCCGCCGAACGTACACTGCCCCTGGATATACCCCTCACCCGCCGAACGTACACTGCCCCTGGATATACCCCTCACCCGCCGAACGTACACTGCCCCTGGATATACCCCTCACCCGCCGAACGTACACTGCCCCTGGATATACCCCTCACCCGCCGAACGTACACTGCCCCTGGATATACCCCTCACCCGCCGAACGTACACTGCCCCTGGATATACCCCTCACCCGCCGAACGTACACTGCCCCTGGATATACCCCTCACCCGCCGAACGTACACTGCCCCTGGATATACCCCTCACCCGCCGAACGTACACTGCCCCTGGATATACCCCTCACCCGCCGAACGTACACTGCCCCTGGATATACCCCTCACCCGCCGAACGTACACTGCCCCTGGATATACCCCTCACCCGCCGAACGTACACTGCCCCTGGATATACCCCTCACCCGCCGAACGTACACTGCCCCTGGATATACCCCTCACCCGCCGAACGTACACTGCCCCTGGATATACCCCTCACCCGCCGAACGTACACTGCCCCTGGATATACCCCTCACCCGCCGAACGTACACTGCCCCTGGATATACCCCTCACCCGCCGAACGTACACTGCCCCTGGATATACCCCTCACCCGCCGAACGTACACTGCCCCTGGATATACCCCTCACCCGCCGAACGTACACTGCCCCTGGATATACCCCTCACCCGCCGAACGTACACTGCCCCTGGATATACCCCTCACCCGCCGAACGTACACTGCCCCTGGATATACCCCTCACCCGCCGAACGTACACTGCCCCTGGATATACCCCTCACCCGCCGAACGTACACTGCCCCTGGATATACCCCTCACCCGCCGAACGTACACTGCCCCTGGATATACCCCTCACCCGCCGAACGTACACTGCCCCTGGATATACCCCTCACCCGCCGAACGTACACTGCCCCTGGATATACCCCTCACCCGCCGAACGTACACTGCCCCTGGATATACCCCTCACCCGCCGAACGTACACTGCCCCTGGATATACCCCTCACCCGCCGAACGTACACTGCCCCTGGATATACCCCTCACCCGCCGAACGTACACTGCCCCTGGATATACCCCTCACCCGCCGAACGTACACTGCCCCTGGATATACCCCTCACCCGCCGAACGTACACTGCCCCTGGATATACCCCTCACCCGCCGAACGTACACTGCCCCTGGATATACCCCTCACCCGCCGAACGTACACTGCCCCTGGATATACCCCTCACCCGCCGAACGTACACTGCCCCTGGATATACCCCTCACCCGCCGAACGTACACTGCCCCTGGATATACCCCTCACCCGCCGAACGTACACTGCCCCTGGATATACCCCTCACCCGCCGAACGTACACTGCCCCTGGATATACCCCTCACCCGCCGAACGTACACTGCCCCTGGATATACCCCTCACCCGCCGAACGTACACTGCCCCTGGATATACCCCTCACCCGCCGAACGTACACTGCCCCTGGATATACCCCTCACCCGCCGAACGTACACTGCCCTGTATATACCCCTCACCCGCAGAGCGTACACTGCCCCTGTGTGTCCGGTCTGGTTGGAGAACAGACACCATAAAGAGGACCTGTCATTTTATAAACACATACATGGATATATATACACACAGGATGTAGAGGGGACTCCCCCATCACATGACCTGTATCGGGGATCTGGGGAACTCCTCTTGTATTGGGTCACATGACCTGTACCGGGTGTCCCGGGTACTCCTCTGGGGGTCTCACAATTTCGGGTGTCAGAGTTTTTGCCGCCTCAGTACCGGGGATCACCTGATACCGATGGACTCCTCCCGTCCCATCATCTGTATCCCGGTCCGACCTCCCGTAGTCCTGTGTCGGGGTCACATGTGATGATCATCGACTACACAACAATATACAATCGCCGGGTGACACCTTGAAAAAGGGGCGGAGTCTGATATTCCGGGTGTCAAAGAGGAACTCCGGGCCGATACTAAGAACAAAAATGAATGCAGCTCTGTGCTCGTCATGTGTCAGTACCCGAGTGTGACCTGGCATCAGTCCCTGTACAGCAGAGCTCAGGCTGGGAAAGGGAGAAGCAGCACGAAGAGCCAATCCGTTCATGTGCTTACATGAAGCATGCTGATAGGAGGAGAGAGCAGAGTGACAGATAGATGAGCTCATCATGCTGTCCAGTCACCATGCTGGGGGCATGTCCGGGATGACCTGGGCTCAGAGGGAGTGGGTTCAATGATGGGGGACATCTAGTGATTGGAATACACACTGCAGGGAAATCTCTGGATCGAAGGTGAATATTGGAGCAGAAAGCAGATTTTTGGTCTCTTCGTTTTTGGATGGAGTTCTCCTTTAAGAAGTCATAGCGATCGGTCCGTTATAGTGCATCTAAGACTCCTGGAGGACGCTGCGCGGGAGGGGGGCGGGGTCTATTGTCTGTGTCCCCGTCGGGGAGATTCACCCTCTTTGTCTGTCACGGTGTCACCGAGAAAGGAAGCGAGGGGGAATCTTCTATTGGGGACACCCGTCATCCTGAACTCCTCCCACTTCCTGTTGTATCTTTCGGGAAGTGAAAGGAAAAGAATCCGACATTCCCTGTGCCTGAGGTGGATGATGGGACTTGTAGTTCACAGACCCCCCGTGGCAGGACATGATGATATATTGGTATGAGGGTCTCTGGGGATATTATGGGATGTCTACGTATATCACTGGCACACATTGGAACCCGATGATCCCATCCAATGGGCAGCCACCATGGTGGGGGGAGGGGGGGTGTCACCTGTCAATCACAGAGCTCTGTAGTCACACACATGGGGGCGGAGCTTCTCCGGTGTCACCTCAAGGTTGGTGCGTGGTCGCCGGTGGGACGCGTATAGTAACAGGTGTGACCCCCCCGTGTCCTCTGATCGGGGGAGGGGGAGGCAGTTCTTCATTCACCTCGTTCTTCTCTCTTTGCAGGTCCGTCCTCCGCCATGCACGCCCGCCTGCTGGCAGATGTCCGTCGCCACATACGATGGCGGGGCTGGCGGTGCGCGTGCGCACAACAGCGAGCGGCCTCCACCGAGGTCCAGCCCCTTCCTCCTCGGGCCCAAGTGGTCATCTGCGGGGGCGGCGTCATGGGGGCCTCCGTGGCCTATCACCTGACCAAGCTGGGCTGGCACGACATCCTGTTACTGGAGCAGGGCAGGTGAGTGAGGGCGCCCCCCGCTGGCGGCGCTGGCTTACTCCTCTTCTCCTATTGGCTGCAGTCACACTGTTATTACCCCGCCTGCCCCCCTCTGTATTATTATTGCCCCCCTAAATTGTACCCATCCCACCCACTTTCTGTCTGAATCCGCCCCTTGTCCCTGACTCCTCCCATAAGTCTGCAGGGTACATAGCG